CACTTGCATCAACAAATGGACAAATAATGATGATAATAATAAATAATGAAAGAAATTAATGGTTGGAAACAAGTTTGTAACGTAACGTCTGGAGTTACCAGTCTAAAGTCTCCGGCCTCCATTCTCCAGTCGGCGGTTCAGTTCATTCATAAAGATCTTATTCTTGTCAATGCGCTTACTGTTAATGTTTACTACAAGCGACAATTCATCTGGAAATTTATTTTTTATAATTTTAAATAAAATAATAATATTAAATTAATTAAATATTTTTAATTGTTAAATTAATGAATACTTAACTAAGATACTCTACGGGTAATTAATTTTCTTAAACGTTCAATTACAAAAGATATCGTAAGTAGCGATACGATTAATAGTTTATAATTAATACGCTAAACTATCAGCAATTAGCATTAAACGTCCTATCCCGTATCCGGCAATTTAAACCTCTCGAGGATTTTTGCTCGAGCTAGAGCTGATTGCACGTAATATTATATATATATATATATATATATTAATATAAAATATATCGCGGCTAAACGCGTCAAACAGGAAAGAGTTAATGTGCTCCTGGCTCACCATGGAGAGTTAATATTACTTCAAGATAAAATATATATAATGCATAAAGTATTAAATGAAATGAAAAATGATAAAATAAACTAATGCAAAAGCGGTCTTGCTTCAAACAGGTTAGTTTATGAAAAACTTTATATACAATCAGTAATCAGTGTATATATTTAACGCGTATCTTTCTTATGATCTCAAATTACTTAACGGACTACTACTTTTTTTTTTTTAATAATTACTGAATTTTTTTATTAATTAAAAGATTTGGTAATAATTTTGATAAGCTTCAATTAACTGTTAATAAATGAATACAGAAATCCTAATCCATTTTTGTACTTTGGAACTTTAAATTACTAGCAACTGTAAATAAATAAAATTTTGCTTTATTAAATAATTAGTTTTGATAAATTGCACTGTACTTTCTTAACTATTGAAGTTTTTAAAGATATAAATTCATCCCGATGTTACACTCATCAAGAGCTTTCATTTGAGTACCCACATGATATTTTCATATATTTTTCATAAATACATATATGTAATATATATATATAAATATACAAAATATGTGAAAAATTGATGTAGGTACTCAAATGAAAGGTCTCGATGAGGGTAATGTTAAAATGAGCTTATATCTTTAAAAATGTCAATTATTCACAAGATGTACAAAGTCATTTATTAATTATTGACATTTTTAAAGATATAAGCTCATCCCGATGTTCCACTCATCAAAAGCTTTCATTTGAATACCTACATGATTTTTTTATATATTTTTCATATATACATATATATTATATATATAAATATACAAAATATATGAAAAATTGATGTGGATACTCAAATGAAAGGTCTCGATGAGTGTAATGTCAGGATGAGCTTATATCTTTGAAAATGTTAATAGTTCACAAGATACGTTATCTCTTAATTGTTGACATTTTTAAAGATATAAACTCATCCCGATGTTACACTAGTCAAGAGCTTTCATTTGAGTACTTACATGATTTTTTATATATTTTTCATTATATACATATATATATATATATATATATAATATATATAAATATATAAAATATATGAAAAATGCATGTGGGTACTCAAATGAAAGCTCTTGATGAGTGTAACACCGGGATGAGCTTATATCTTTAAAAATGTCAACAGTT